AGGCTATTTCATGATACATTAAAGTTATATGAAACTTGTATTTTGGTGTACATAACGCTTAGTTGGAACACAAGCAGACCCATTTTGTTTAATATATATAGTTCTAAAGTTGTTTTTTTGTTTGTTTTTAGTAATCTCTACACCCAAAGTGGGTCTCGAACTCATGACCCTGAGATCAGGCATCACATGCTCTTCTGAGCCAGCCAGCTGCCCCAGCCCACTCATTTTTATACTGTGCAGCGCAATACAGAATTATATACAATAGCAGAGTGGTTATGACAGACTGTCTAGCCCATAAAGCTTAAAATAGTTATTATCTGATCCTTTCCAGAAAAAAATATGCTGACCCTGGTTTACACTATTCTCAAGGTCCATCATGAAAAGTGGTGTTCACATTGGACAAATTGCTGTTTTAAATAAACCAAGATTTTGAAAACTTGCTCTTCTTGCAGGAAATGCACTTTAATGGGCAGATCCCAAAGCACATACTGAGAAGAGTCACAGTGAATGCCTGCACAACATTAAAAAGGGTTGTTTTCATTGTGGACCAATGGACCCACAGGCCTGAGATTTACCTAAGCCTGAGACTGTGGGTGATGGAGAAACCAATCAATGCCCCTCCCTTCTGGAATTTAGCGAAGTTGGGGGGATAGCCAGGGGCATTTGGATGGAGGACAGAAACTAGGAGCTAGGACATTTGGAGCTAGGACAGAAACAGCCAGGAGACCCCTTATTTGGGGACTCTAGGCAATCTGTCCTTTCCCCTTTGCATGTGTTTTTGACTCTTCCACCTTTCCGACTTCCTTTGGTGTCACCCTTGTACCCGAGGGACTAAACGCTCAGCTTCTGGGACCAGGCTGCCTGGGTTTGGATTTCAGCTCCTCTGTTTACTAACCTTGTAAACTTTGGATGGGTTCCAAGGTCTGCTCACCCTTATCTATAGCTATAGCAATGGGAGAAATAACAGGATTTGGTGCTTTAAGCCACTATATTTTAGGTGGTTTGTTGCACAGCAGTACCTCACCTGTACATACTCTTTCAACAATGCCTTTGAAGAGGCATTTATCCAGTTTAGGTTCCATTTTTACAAGAGCCTAAATCAATCTCCCTGCTTCATTACAATGTCACACCCTCCAGTGTTCCTCTATGTTGATGTCAAAGTCATCTTTCTAAACTATTGTTCCTCCAGTGGTTAAAATCCTCCAAATTCTCACCTCATTTAAGCAAAAATTCCTTCGTGTTCTACACCTTTGTGCTCTCATTTCTTCCTCCTCCTCTATCCCCCACCCTGCCTTTGCAATCTATGCTCCAGTCATACGGAACCCCTTGTCACCACTGAACAATCATGATCTATGTATAGTTATATACAACTGTGTCTTTTGTACCTTATTCCTTCTCCCTAAGACATCCTTTGCTCTCCTGCTCTAAATCTACAAAGACTCTCATCAGACACCTTAGGGATTACCTTCTCTAGGTTTTTCTTGAAAATCTCCGCTCTTAGACTGAGTTCGATGCCCTTCGTGTGTATCTTTATCATACCACTTTTATTAATAATTGGAGTAACAATTTTTTTCAATTCTCCTAAGGTATACAGCTAGTACCATTCTAGAAGTATCAGAAGAATTTATTATATTTGTCTCAGGGCTTAGTTCTCCGGGATGGGGGCGGGGCAGAAGGGCACTGCCCCCATTAGAAAAGCAATTCTAAACTTTTGAGCACAAGGACTGCTATCTTTATTGGTAGCACAGGACCTAGTTCGTGCTCATCCATTAAATAAGAATAACGTGTGAATGGCTAGTCTTCAAAGAAACTCAAAAGAAAAATACAGAAATAATCCAAAGAAGTTTTAAATTTCTGAGAACAAATGCTCTAATTTCCCAAGATGCCATCTCTGCCACATCTTAACCAATCTATGGGTTCCATGGTATCTGGCACACAGTAAGCAGCCAATCATACGTGAACTTGTGTACCCCTCCATTGTTTAAATGATCTCCATCTTGAGCTGTACCCAAATAGGCTTTGCAGTGCTCACGCTGTGACTCAAAAATAGGTTTGGAGTCTCAAAGCTTAGAACTACTAGTTTGAATGGCCACATGGATAAAACTGTGAGAGAGTCTGTCAAACACTTACAATTTCATTTCACTTTGATGAAACATGGTCTTTTAACCCATTCATTACACGATCGCTTTGAAAATGGGAGGCAATGATAGGAGACTAAGAAATAAAACCTCTTATCATAAAGTTTTAAGAAATGTATGAAATATAAATACAGGAAAACTTTAAATAGGTATCCAACCAAACTTTTATTGGGGTTTTATTGCAATCTACTTTCGGCAAGAAGGGGAAAGTAACCATAAGAACTCCAATCAGATTTTATTCAACAAAGCAGTTTTTCATGAATGCTTAAGGTCAGTGTATAGTCAGCTCAGATTCCAGTATCAACTTGAGTACCTCATTATGGAAATTTATGCCAGAATGACAACAGTAAGGCATTGCAAGATTCTAAATCATCTAAGATTAAACCATATTTTACATATAATTTTTAGGACAGTATACTAATACTCTACAATAAATAAGGATTTTAAAAAATGTGTTGCTTAGCCCTTGTTGAACTAAATTCAATTATTAGCTTATTCTTTAAGTACTCCAGTTAATAAAGGTTTGATTGTACTCCAAGAACTGTGTCTTTTCCAAAGATAAAAAAATTAGTTCTTATTTGTTATGACAAAAATTAAGCTTAAAAGCACATTCACACTTGTCCTTAAAAGCATGTTTACATCATATATGAGATAACTTCTCATGCCTGGAGATATGGTTTATATGGCAAAAAGTCATATGCAAAGAACGACTAGAGGGCAATCCTCCCAGCTCCACGTCCTCCAAAAAGCCACACTTGGCCTCAGTGTAAAAGTTATATTTTATTGCCATGCTACAAAATGTATGAAGTTGGCACTGATAGGGAGAAACAGAGAACAAAGGGTGGGAAGGGATAGAGGGCAAAAGATGTTGTTACATATACAACAAGGTTTAATCAACAGTGGTAAATTTTGCCAATATTAAAAATGCAAACCAAAATTTAAAATGCTGATATGAAACAGCATTAATATACAATTTATGCATAGTACAGTATCACTTATGTCTTTTATTAGAGAAATATGGAATGTTTATAAAAGAAATTAACCATAGGGGATAAAATTCCTATTTCATATACAATTTGGCAATGGTAGTCCCACTGTTAGACAATTTTTATAAAAGAAAAAATTAAAAATCTAACAAGCTACCTTTATACAAAGTTGCTATATTTATGCCTTTACGTAGGAAAAAAACATTTATAATGCAAATTAGGACATACAATAATCTTACAGTATTATACAATGTAATGAAAATAAAAAACGTAACACAAAATTTTTCCTTTATAAAATGTATATTTTGCATTTACTAATGCAAATGTGGCACACCGGTGACTACTGTACTATTAATACCAGTCCGTTTCCATGCTACTATTATTGTCCAATTGTCATAGAATTGTAATTGTATTGATGCTACAAAAGAATTGTGTTATACCAAAAAATGAGGAAGTAGGAATGGGGAATAGGGGTGTAAAGAACAGGATAGATAGGGTGCTGGTTTGGGCAGAGTATACTGTGGTATGTCATAAAATATCTGTTAGTTTTTCAAGCCAAAAACATTTTCTATACATTCTGTAATTTTGTACCAATGCCTTTATTCAAATTTGGCAAACATCAGGGAAAAGGTAATTAGTACCGTATACCTCACATATCAGAAATATGAACAAGATGCCAATACATCAGTTACTTCTGAATGTTGTCTCTGATGGTATGTCTATTTCAAGGAGATATATACATATATATGTATATACATATACATATATATATTTTTATACACACACACTACACATTGCACAAAACACTTGGGCATTATGGGTTAGGAACAGCACAGCGGGGAGTGGGAAGTACTTTTTAGCTTGTTAAAACCTTTACCTTGAGGCAAAAATATGGTGGCACATTATTGGGAAATTATGAAAACATAAGGCCCCTGTCCCATTTTTAATAGAACATTATTGAGGTACATTTTTATATGTTGTGCCACAGATTTTTTTTTGAGGAGGGAAGGAATAAACAAAGACTAGCTTGACTTATAACATTGAACTGTGGGGTCAACATTAGTATCTATAAAAAACAAAGATTGCTTGGCAAATTTTCATAAGTCCCAAATGTGATCTATTCTGGATATACTGGGAAGTGAAAAGCTTTTTGCTGAGTCTTCAAGAGTAAAGTGCATATCTCATCACTCCACAGCAGCAGTAAATAAAAGGAACTATTTGCCAATCTTCCTGGAGGGAGGGAAGGCACCATATTTTCATTTTTAAAGGAAGATGAAACTGGGAATTAAAAGACATGACAAAAAAACACAGGTAATACCCATATCAGTTTCCAACCTCTGATCTGGGATAAAAAGCTGTTATCACCTGTATGGGTAAAAGAGGACTCTATTGGGGGGAAAGCATATGAACGATGATTCTATTTCCAAAACCAAAAAGTGGGATCCCATGGTCTACCAACGGGAACAGAATATCTAAAATTAGGTCTGTCTCAGAAAATCTGAAACATATGGCCACAATTATATCCCAATAAAATATCGCATTCTAAAATGCACCTAGTAACAGGTACATTCTTCCAGGACAGAGCTTAATGCCCATGACTAGACTACTGCAAAGGACAAGTAGTGTTCTACATTACTTTTTATTAAATAGGAACACAGGTGATTTCCAGAGACATCTAGAAATAAACACCAGTTGTATACATCTTCCTAATACTCATAGTACCTAAAATCAAATTCTTAGCAGACAAATTGGTCCCATTTTCATTTTTAAAGCACACAGTATTTAAAGCATAACCTGCAATGATTATATTGGCGCTACCTAAAATACATAAAAACTAATTAGAATCTGGAAGGAAAATGAAAATAATGAGGAAAATAAAGTATCCAACCTCCAAAATGAATCAATAGGTCAGCCCTTTCATTTGGAGGTTCTGTCTTGACTGCTTGTTTTGGAGAAAACCACATGTACTGGTTCCATCATAATTCTTATTCCACATTACAAAAACCATCACATAAATTTGGCACGATTAGCAATCTACTCAGAAGAAAGCATAAATGGAACGATATATTAAAAATGGAAACTGCACACCTTTACCACTGCTCTCTTTTTAGAGAACAGGGAACACTTTATTAAGCACCAAGTTCACAGAAAAAAAAAAGAAGAAAGAAAATTCTGCTATGCACATAAACCAATGGCACTGAAAATAATAAAGACGCCTTTAATAATTTATTTTCTTTATAATGGTCCCACTCTATTATTCTGCTAATCCATCCACTGTCCTATAATTATTTACTCATCAGGTTGGGTGCTCTATGACTGAAACCTTTTCATGCTCAATTAACCTTAGTTACATCTGGCAGAGAGATCCAAATCATGATCTCAAACTTCCTCCTATTTAGAGAAAACAGGAACCTACCTAGCCTTTCCACTGTACCGTCCCTTGTCTTCTCTAGCATTTGAGAAACTGGAACACTCTTGATTTTCCAAGAGTTAAGGACTCATGGACTCTCTTCAGTTTATATAAACTTCAATTCATTCTAAATCCTAAATTATGACACAATCTCATTGCTCTAAGACTTCCACTGTACCTGCTATGCCGGCAACACTCCTAACATTCTAATGGAATCAAGGGATAACCGAAGCTCCAGCCACGAGTGAAAGGAGAGCAGAGCTGAGGAGCACTACTGTGGGCAAAATATAATTGCAGCCGCGTGACGAGGGAATCACTGTTAAAGTGCTGGGGAGGGTGCCCACAGAGAGAACACAGTACCTTTAGGGAACTTTGCGTGTTAAAAGTAGCTTCCTTTTTTTCCTCGGCTGTTCAAGAGATCACCTATGGACACAAGTGAAGTTTCAAATTGAGCGAATGTTTTCATCAACTTGAAAAGTAAACAGCATACAAATAAATACTGGACAAGGGCAACCCTGTTATAGAATAACAGTAAGTTCCAAATGAACCTTCAAAACCACAATTTGACAAAAATGCAAACGAAACGACAACGAACACGTAATCCAATTTCAAAACTATATACAAACTCGAACATTTTAAATGGAAAAAAAGACATTAAGCGACAAAATAAGACATCCCGAACACCAAAGGAAAAAACTGAAGGTAATTGGCAACCAAATGGCACAAACGCCTCCAGAAAACAATGTCACTGTTCATAATCTACAGGAGAGAAACTTGCAGGAGATCGTGGTTCAGATTTCCAAATGTTTTTGGGTAAAGTGACCTGAGACTGATTTCTTGAGTCTAGTGTAATTCTGATTAAGATATCTGGGCATGCCCTTCAAATGACATCATGAGATGAGTAAACAGAAAATCTTGTCTCCTTCCTGCCTTTCAACACACCAAGAGCAAACCATATTCCCGGGCGCATGACTCTTCCTAGTAACGCAGAAGGCAAAGGAACTGACTGGTATATAAGGAGGTGTGGTACTTCTATTTCCTTTACATGTTTTGGCTCAAGTCAAAAAGCCTACAATTAATGAAATACAGGATTCCTCATGTTACATGCTGGAGGCCATATACCTGGAATAGTGAATCTACAAATATTACTTTCAACGCCTAGAGTTATCTGTTAGCAATGCACGTTATCAAGAGGCTTTATAAAATGTTTTAAATGCCAACCATGACTTAGACATGAATGATATGCGTAAGTCCAGACTACTGATAAAAATCAACCAGCATGTCACTCGCTTCAACTCTCATTTGAAATAGGCACTGTGAAAATGGGAATGCTGCTGTACAGTAATGAGTAGTACATACTGAAATTAGTGTTCTTTAATGAGTACCTGCTCTACATTAATTCCCTTTAGTTAAAGAAGCACAGGAAATATTCAGAAAAAAAATCTTATCAGTCTATAAAAGGAGTTAGTGTTTAGAAATGACAATGAAGCACTTGCATCTTCATTGGTTAAAACTTCACAAAGGTGCAAACAATGTACCGCTTTCCAGGCTCACATGGGCAGGTCAGTACTATTATGTCTAGTCTTCCTAGATGTACCATCGTCTCGCGGCAGCGCTTTCTGCAAATTTGACATAGCAGCAGTTCTCTCGATGTCTATCACAGCATACAGCTCTGTGCGCCTGGTAGGGGTTTGCGGAAGGGGAGTGGTAGGCGTTTTTGGAGTCTGAGGGTTGTCAGAGTCACTGCCGCCTTCCAAGTCCACCTGTATGTAATTGAGCTGCCTGTGTTCTAAACTGGGGCGTCTGATATCAAAGTTAAAGACTGTTGGCGTACAGTCCCGACGCCTCGAATATTCTATTTTGTGAGCACTTGCCGGCACTGTTACATTCTCTGTATTTACATAGTTATGCATTGGATCTAGATTATTATGGTAGCCATTTAGAGATGGGGTCTTTGGTCCTAAATTGTCATCTTCATCCCTACTAAGCTTGCGGGCTTCCCAAACAGGAGGCAAAGATGGTAAATTTTCATAGTTTAATAATGCAGTTCTTCTCTGAGCTGAGTTGTTGATATTCTGGGTATCTGAGGTACTGCTGGATGTCAGACGACCTCTCCTGACCCCTGAGGCACTAGGGATAGATAACCCATTTATATTTTCATACACCAGCTTGTTAACAGAGGGCGCATCTCTTCGCTCGTCACTGTCATATCCAGTGTCCCATTCTGTGCTATTGGCACCACTTCCGCTGACTTGGTCTCTTCCAAGTTGCTCCAGTTTCTCTTTTTCCATTAACTGCTTTTGAACAGGGGTTGGTCCTAAGACAAATTTGACTCCTTCGGGTTCCAGAAGAATCTGAGGGTCCCTGTCCTCAACACGACTTGGTTCTTCTTTTGGTGTGTTGCTTTCAGCATTCGAAATCCTCGCCTCCAACGGGACATGCACACTTGTGCGGTTTTTCCGCTCTTCTTGCACTCCTGTAGTGTTGACATAGGTATGTACCTAAAGCAAAACAGAAGAGTGGACAATAACCAATAAAAGGCTGACCATATCTGTTAAATTTTATCGATTAACTTTCCCTCTCCTTCAAAGCTTTTGTCTTTGTTTTTCACTAATAAAAAGGTGGGGAGAGAGGAGGATTGTGGAAACACTTTCTTCACTTGATAAAAGAATAAATAACTCCGGGGTGCCTGAGTGGCTCAGTCAGTTAACCACCTGCCTTCGGCTCAGGTCATGATGTCAGGGTCCTGAGGCTGAACCCCAAGTCAGGCTCGCTGCTCAGAGTGGAGAGTCTGCTTCTCTCTCTCTGTTTCAAATAAATACATAAAAATCTAAGAAAAACAAAAACAAAAACAGAGTAACTACTCTAAAATAACACATAACGTTGTACTTGATACATGAAAAGCATTCTGTCAAAAAAAGTCAGGAACATACTGGGATTATCATTTTGATGTTTTTTAGAAATTCTCATAAGTATTGAAACATAATTTAGAAATAAGGAATAACAAGCATTAAAAAAAAAGAGACAAATTTATCATGATTTGCAGATAATGTGACCAAATAAAGAGATAAACCCTGCCAGATTTAATAAGAGTTCTATAAAATGCATTGGTATAAAATAAATGCAACCTACTAAAAAAATCATCACTATTTAGAAAAGGTCAATGGTATTTGGAGGAACAATATAAAATGTTTGTGGAAGACTAGGGGCACCAGGGTGGCTCAGTCTGTTAAGTACTGACTCTTGATTTTGGCTCAGGTGATGATCTCGGGGTCAAGCCCAAGAGCTGTGTTGGGCTTCTGGCTTGGCGGGGTTGGGGGGGGTGGGAGGGTGGCAGGTTAGAGGTGAAGCACGGTTGCGGGTGGGGGGGGGTCTGCTTGGGATTCTCTCCTTCTCCCTCTATCCCTCCCTCCACGCTCACAAGCATGCACGCGTGTGCGCTCTCTCTCAAATAAATCTTTAAAAAAAAAAAAAGTTTGGAAGACTATTCATAAAATTTGAAAAAATTCAAAAAATGCAAAAACTGAAGGAAGTGTAATTATAGTTTGACTTAGACATGAATGATAACTAAGTAACTAAGAATTCATTTACTATGTAAAGAACACAGAGAAACAGATTTTAAAACAGTAAAAATTTCTTAATGATATGTGACCATTTGGTTTACAAGAGATAAGAATAACTAATTAACATACAGACGATGTTCAACCAAATACTTCACTCCTCAAATGAAAAACAGAATAGTTAGAAACATTAAAGAGCCTCATACAAACACTGCCAACGAAAGCCACCTTGCTGCTAGTAGTGCACTGATATAAAAAGCAGTACAAATTCCAGATCCATTGGAAGTTATTGTAACCGGACCTGACCATTAGTTCTATCCATCCTTCCCTACAGACGCTCCTCTCCTGTGAGTCCACAGGCTGCTGTGATGCTATGTCTCCCTCCATACCTGTACGTATTTGGCGTATGTTAGAAAATATATGCTGTTTCCTCTGATTCTACACTACAAAAGTCATAAACAGTGAAAGCTAAAATTCAGACTGAAATTTCCACGCATCAGCGCAGCAATGCTTTAACTCCACCCAGTCTGTCATCCCCTTAGACAGTAGCACACGCTTACTTGCTCCTCGGCCACAAGCAAAGGATGCGTAGATTCTTCACCCACGGAAGGCAGCCGTGCACTCCCCACGGAAGGATGTCTGCTTGACGGATGGGAAGAAGCATCTCCGAATGAGGGATATCGGGGATATCCATTCGGTAAATTCTGAGCAGCAAACCCTGGAGCTGAGTTTTTGTTTATTGGTTTAAGAAGAAAAGCAGGATATGGGGGGAAGACAGAGATAAAAGTGAATGAGAATGGAATCTAAGCTGAGAAAATTAAGCAAGGTGTTTCTGGTAAGACGCAACAGAAACCAGAGCACAAACAACATCCTCCTTCCACTCCAACTTTCCATTCACATTTTAGATAAAATAGAACTTTTAATATTTTCCTACTTAAAATATTAAAAATATTTATAATTATAGCTCTAAGCAGCTTAAAAAAAAGAACTGACAACCATTACACTTATCTTAGCCAATGGTGATTTCTAAGGCGTTACAGATTAAATATCCGTAATTCAAAGTTTATGAATGTCTATTATTCAAAATACAAGAGGGAAAACTGGTACTTACTTGTAGGTGTTCGAGGTGTTCTGGGGACTTCCAATTCTGTCTGATGATTATTCCTTTCGACAACTGGCTCTTCCACCACATTTATACTATTATTTTGCATAATTTCTTGCAACATGTTAAATAATTCTTCTGCACGGGCACACTTAAAGGCAAAGATTCCTATAAATATAAAAGAGAAGGGGAAAATGGTAGCTGTAGCTTTAAAAAAAATACAGGAACACCTGTCAAAGAACAGAACTGAAAAGTAAGCATTCTATGCACTGACAGGAAGAAGGGTCTTTTAATCAAATGTCTGATAAATTAATGATAGTCTCTGTTTCAAAACATAAACCCAAAAGGAAATTCACAGAATAATTTTCCTATATCCAAAACAAGGCAGACAAAAACAAGATTTGAACACTTCCTTTGGTCTGCTTTTTAACAGCAGGGGGCACCCAAGTCACCATTACCAAGGTGATCCTTCACCATTTGTCCGTGCCTCGCTCCATGGTTTACAATCCTTACCTTGTTTAATTATTACAAGAGCTCTGTAAAGTAGGGATCAGCATTCCTTTCTGACAGACAAGAAATCTGATGTTCTACAGAGATCATGTAACTTGTGCAAGGCCTATCATGCAGCAGGCCACAAAAAAACCAAACCATGTTCGGTTTGACTCTAAAGTTTAGGTTCTTTCCCCACGAAGTTGTAACAATAAAGATACATAGTCAATTTACTGGAGCTAATCAACTACTGAAAATCTTAAATAATATGAGTCAAAATTCTGGACATAGAGAATGTGCTGAGTAAATGCCTGATAAATGAAGCCATGGTTTACGGCATCTCTTTTCTTAATCCACTTAGTCGGGGGATTTTTTTTTCTATCAGGAAAAAAGTAAAGTATTAATTTAAACATTGTAAATAGAATAACTGAAAGAATAATTTTCAAATGTGATACTGTTTGGAGAAGAAAAAAAATTAAAGGCTCCACCGACCTTGTCCAGTCTGACACCTTCGGCCACTTTCAAAAGAAAAGAGATTTGAATCATAGCCATAGCGCCGCAGGCAGAGGTAGTGCCATTTTACCGAGTCACGTTTCCGAGTATATAAAATCAGTTCTGTGTCTGTCAGTTCCATTATGCCAGAACCTAACTCATTCCCATCATCATCCACATTAATGACCTAAAAAAGAAAATTTAATTAGTACCACCCTAATGTTCCCGCTGGACGGTCATACATGTATTTCGCCAGTCTGTCAGTAAAAGGCACTGTCGCTGACTGGTTCAGTTATTCGCTCCTTTGTTAATCCATCCACCAGCCAACGTGTGTGTAGCGCATGGGCTATGCAGCAGTGTAAGTCCTGGTGCCACCCACAAGAAGCTCACATGCCCAGTGAGCGTAACAGATACACAAACATGAAGTCAACAACACAAGGCTGTATGTGAGCAACTGACAAATGGGTGCAACCGAGGCGGCAAAAGGCAGGAAGTGCGGCCTAGGGTGGCTGGAGATGCCTTCACGTGAGAGGAGGAGGGACTTGGGCTGGGCCTCAGGAGAGAACTGGTGGGTCAGGGATTGTGGGGCATATCCTGAAGGTGCAGTGCTACAGCAGACATGAAAAAAGTATGTTTCAGAGAGACCAAGACAAGACCGGCACAGAGTTCACGGAAGGGCAGGCCTCGCACTGCTGAGTTTAGGAATCGGTAACATTTTGAGAGAACAGTCTGTATTTCTGGGATTGGCAGAGTGCTTTCCGAGTATTTCCCCATTTAATCCTCAAAACAACCCTAAACTGCAGATAATATTATTTTCGCCACTGTACAAAACTGGAACAAACACACAGTGATAAGGTAACCTGCCCAAGTCACAAACCTACAAAGCAGCAGGGTTTCGACTTACACATGGGTCTGTGTGATCCAGAGGCCATGATGTGTAAAAACCTGAGGTCAGACTACAAGAGACACTAAATGGCTGTGGAGAGGTAAGAAATGGAGCATCTGGGCTCTAGGTAACAGAACACCAGGAGTTTTAGAATGATGAAAGAGGATGATTAATATGATGTCAACTGTAAGATGGATCACAAAGGTGACTGACTCAAGGCAGAGTTCAGCTAAGAAACTATCCAGGCATGAAGCAATGACTGGGAGGTGGTGACCAGACTGAAGAGGCACCTATAAAATGGCATTAAAAAAAAATTTACTAGAACTGTATGGCTCTAATTGGATGGAGAGGACCAAAGGGAAAGTAAAGAGGATTCCACACTGTCAGTAAGAACATATTGTCATCATTTGTTAAAACAAGAAAAGGCAGAGTGGACACAAAGAGAAAAAAAAGAGTCGAGAGATAAAAGTGAGGAAATAAGATATATTATGTGGAGAAAAAGAATATCCGACTAGGCAGAGAGATAGAACTCAACCAGTTTTACTAACCTTAAACTTGTTCCGATGGTTATCTGGGACAGTGTCTTTATCTGGACAGCTACAACAGCTACCCATGGCTTCTTCAGAAGACCATGTGAGCACTACACGAAAGATAATTTGGAAAAAGTTATTAAATGTAGGATACAAAAATCACAAAACAGAAAAAGACTTTAGAAATCATCTAATACAAGGCCTGCATTATCCTGATGAGGAAATTTAAGCCCAAGATGGTACAAGGCTGAGCTAGATTTCACACACTCAGCTGGTAAACTCTGCTCAGTGACAAGGAAAATAATTTTGCGAGGCAGTCTTCATAGAAATCTCAAATTTCCAGTTTAATTTGCAAAGGTCTGCCTATTTTTAAATTATCTTAAAAAATTAGGGTCTCATCTCATATGGAACCTATTTAAATAAAGTCATCTGTGGAATTAATCTTTAATGGTTTATCAGAAATTTCATGTCCCTCTTTTAATAAATTTCCAAAGGGATGTTGGACTTCAAGGTTGGAAGGTATTTTGATTCTTATTACTCATGCAGTATATCCTTCATGTACCTCACCAGGCAGAAGTTGATTGGTAAATAAGACACACAAAAAAATTTGGAATAGTTCATTAAGAGAGAAAAACGACCCAACAATCAAGGAGTAACTCAACGTAGAAAGTATCAGCGAAACTGATAGAGCGTGTCTGTCTAATCCTTCTTTCCCACACAAGGTTAGAGATCATAGATTATAAGTGACATTAAGTGTTCAGGAAAACACCAAATGAACAAAGAAAAAATTTAAAACATCACTTAAAAAAAGGGGAAGAATCAGAACGAACATGACAATATTTGGAAAGGGGAAGGGAAGGAAGCACAAGAAGCTATTAGATAAAAAAGAAACACAAATCTGATAAAACCAGCTTAAAATTCTTCAAGGGCTCTTCACTACCTTTAGGAAAAAATTTGAAGCTCGTGAACATGACATGAGGTTCTTTATAATCTCATCCCCGGCTACAGATCTAGTCTGAGCTCTGTCTCTGTTTCAAGCCCTCCCAAGTCACATTCAACAGTCCCCCAGAGCAACGTGTCTTCCCACGTCCTTCCACATTGCTCCTTTCCCTTCTCAAGATCCAACTGCGCAGTTCCTTCACGGAGCCTCCTCTGATTCCAAGCCACCGGGAGAGTCATACTTCTTGTGTAGCCCCCAAGGCACCCTTGGCTTCCCAGTATCACAGCATTCTTCACATTGCTTCCTTAGTAGAAATTGTGACAGATCATCTGTTTACTTAACTCTCACTCCTACTCCACCACAAGCTCCTTCCCAAAACTAATTTGCATTTCCCACGCCTAACATGTTACCTAGCACACAGCAGGCACTCTACGTCTCTTGTGAGCTGGCTGGACTGAACTGTACTAAACAAAGGTAAAGGATGCTGGCAGGTGTGAGTATTAAGCAGATGAAAAAGTATACTGGTACACAAACCAAAAGAAGTAAAATAGTAAATTAATTAAGACTCATATGTGGCAGCTTACTCTAAGTAATACGCCAGCGAATAACCAGGCACAAAGATGATTAAGTCACAGTATGTACCTCTGAAGAGTCATGAGTTTAAAGGGAGAGACAGACATGTAAACAGATAACGCATTATGATTAAACATTGTATGAGAATATGAGAAGGGTCCTGTGGGCACAGAAAAGAGAGCAAGTAACTTTCTGGGTTAGTGGGGTGGGAAGCACCATCTGAGCTGGTACTTAAAAAGGTGAACAGAAAATAGTTATTTTCTCGGCATAAAATAGACACAGGTACTTGAGATAGATAAGGGTACAAAGAAGGCAAAGACAAAGGTCATGGCAGATCATGAAAGGCGGCACCACATTCAGAAAAAAGGGAGGTGTCTAAGATGACCGGAATACAGGGTCGGCTGTAACACAAGTATGGCCAAACCACAGAAAGGGTCCTGAACAATGAGATGGGGGTCTGGGACTCCAGGTAACTGGAAGCTAGGTGGCATCCAGTGTCTTCCCAATCAAATGAACATTACTCTCTTGTGGCATTTATCACATTCTATTATAATGTTTATCTGTCTCAACATTCACGTCACTGTGATCTCCCTGAAGATAGGAACCTTATCTTCTGAATTTTCAAGGGCACTAAGAACATCACCTGAGTGTCTTAACGTGGCCCATAAGGGTTTAATTTAAAAAAATTAATACAGGCATATCTTGGAGATATTGCAGGTTTGCTTCCAGACTGTGGCAAAAAAGCAAGTGTCACAACAAAGTGAGTCAAATCAAGATCAAGTTTTTGGTTCCCTGATGCCTATAAAAGTTACGTTTGCATTATATCACAGTCTATTTGTGTGCAAGAGCAGTATGTCTAACAACACAATATATGTATCTTCATTAAAAAATACTTCACTACTAAAAATGCTAACCATTGGGGTGCCTGGGGTGGCTCAGTCATTAAGTGGTTGCCTTCACTTCAGGTCATGATCCCAGGGTCCTGAGATCGAGCCCCACATCGAGCTCCCTGCTCACCGGGAAGCCTGCTTCTCTCTCTCCCACTCCCCCTGCTTGTGTTCCCTCTCTAGCTGAAATAAATAAAATCTTAAAAAAAAAATAAAAATAAAAATGCTAACCATCATCTAAGCTTTCAGGAAGTCATTATCCCTGATCCCAGTTCATCATAACAAATATAATAATAATGAAAAAATTTGAAATACGGTGAGAATTACCAAAATGTGACACAGAGACCCCAAGTGAGGAAATGCTATTGGAAAAATGGCGTTGACAGACTTGCTCAAAGCAGGGTTGCCACAAACCTTCCATTTGTAAAAATCACAGTATCTGCAAAGCACAATAAAGCCAATTCAGCTCAACAATGATTAATGAAAAGTCTAAATGCAACAGAACCAGGAATGCCTGAAACTGCTTAATAAATTATGGGATGAGAAAGAGGCAAAAGATTACTAAAAACATTTTTTTTAAGTAGAGGGATAAATGATGGAAACAAAGTCTACTTGAAATTACACATCCATCCTCACCACTGACCCGCTCCTGAACATGAAGCGCTAAGAGATCACTCCAGTGCAGCTTCTGCCACAAAAGGTAACGCCTCAAAGGAATGTTTTTGGTTTTAAGATTTTTTTTTTAATTTATTTATTTGACAGATAGAGATCACAAGTAGGCAGAGAGGCAGGCAGAGACAGAGAGAGGAGGAAGTAGGCTCCCTGCTGAGCAGAGAGCCTGATGCGGGGCTCGATCCCAGGTCCTGGGATCATGACCTGAGCCGAAGGCAGAGGCTTTAACCCACTCAGCCACCCAGATGCCCCTCGAAGGAATGTTTTTAAGCTATTTCTTCAAAGGAGTAGAAAAATCATTCTTTTTGTTTTGTTTTGGTTTGGTTTTAAAGGGTTTCTTTTAAATTACTTTTTAAGTAATCTCTATACCCAACTTGGGGCTCAAACTCACAGCCCCGAGATCAAGAGCCACACACTCCACCGACTGAGCTGGCCAGGGACCCCTAGAGAATCATTCTTTGACTTGCCACCTTCACGGGCTACCTGTCAAGGCAGCACCTCCCATGCTGTCAAGGGTATGCAGGTGGTGGTACAACCTACTTGAAAACTCTATCCACATGGAATGTTCCAATTCAGCTCAACAATGATTAATGAAAAGCCTAACATGTGACCTAAAAGCCTTGTATGCCATACTAAGGAGGATGGATTTGCTCCCACATGTGATGGAAAGCCAGCGAAGAATCCGAACCAGGAAAGTGAGGTGCTTAGGACTTCATTTTAAATACATCTACCTGCAGAATAAATTTAGGTGGCAGTTCAGTTCAGAGAAGAAAAACCAGTTGGAAAATACTGAAAAATGAAATATGCTACAGACCTAAAACCAGAGCAGCAATACTGGGAATAAAGACAAAAGAAGATGAATTTTCAAAATATTTGGGGAGACCAGTGAGCAGTATGGAGCAGGTGGTGAAGCAGACAGGAAGGAAGAGGCAGTTTCCAGAGTGGCAGGTGATGGGCGCTGGTTCCACTCCCCGAGACAGAAAACACCATGCTGGTCTGCAAGTGCAAGTGATGGTGGTTAGCTCAGCTTGAGACAAGTGGAGATTCTAGAGAACAACCAAATGGAGATATGCAATAGAGAGTTAAATACGTGAGTGTGGATTTGAGGAAGGAGGTAAAATATTGATGTACACGTGGTATTTGAAGCCATAAAACAGAACACACTGCCCAAGGACAGTACAAGGAGGGGTGTAGAGTTCAAATTCTAGGGAATTTCAATTCCAATTCTTGGAAATGTGGAAGTACTAGAGGAGACAGAGAAGTAAAGGAAGAAAAAAGAATCAGAATAATACCCACTGAAAAAAGAAAGTGTCGAGAAGGAGGGTTCAATTCAGAACCCTCTGGTAGAGGCAGAAACCAAACTGAAGTGAACAAATGGAAGATAAGGAGGAAGTAGCCCCCCCAGAGAATGGAAACTGCTCTTTCAAGAACAGGTTCAAAAAGGAAAGGGCAGAGTGCTTTGGTGTAGACAGACGTGGTTTCAAAAAAAAATACATTGTTTGAGTTACTTGTTTTCAGATGACATAGACTGATGCAGGTTTGTGATCAATAGATCAAGATAGGTTAAAATTTTTAGAAAAAAAAAAAAAAAAAAAACAAAGGAAAAAGATGTGCTACATGATGGATCAAGACTGGAGATTGGAGGGGAGACTGGAGAAGAAGAGTTGCAAGAGAAGTCTGCCCCTAGAAGTAGGAATGCCTTGTCCTCTGAGGAGAGAGGGAAGACAGTAAGGATGGGTGGAACACAGCGGAGAAGCTAAGTAGGTAATACCTATCATCCTAAATGTTTTTTGTGCAAAAGAAGGCAAGCCTGCAGCATGAGGGACCTGGGGAGGACGGGAGGATTACTCTCAGAGGCGCTGCCCGAGAAAGGTAGCAGGATGATTAAGCAGGCTGCCCAGAGAGCTCAGCGGAGGCTGGAAAGGAAGATTCGCTGCTTTTACAGCAGCGCTCAGCAGTTCAGAGGGCACACTGTTCAAGTGACCCGGGGTCAGAGGGTAAGAGGACAAGGAAATTAAAGGATACTGGCAATAATCGGGGCCTGAAGTGATAGATCAACCAGGTCTGGTCAGGATAGAAGTAAAGGAAGAGGAGGCCTGGATGAAATGGGCAAAAAAATGGAGGCAAAAAGGAAGAGGAAGCCTCACTAAGGCTGAAGAACAGCCTTAGTAGGAGTGAGAGCCTGACACAGCTGGAAGACAAAGAGACTTGAATGCGGAGTCTCACCTGCATCTCTGAGTCCTCCTCCTGAACCACAAACTCCGAGGCAAGGGGAAAGGCAAGATACTAGATATTCTGCATTAATGACCACCAGATTCATATTTGGAGACCACATCTGAGTTGTGGAAGACCTAATAATGTACACTAATACTGCGAACACTTGATGAGAAACCATAAGGCCTCACCATCTTGCCCAACCAAATTTATAACTCAGCAAAAACTTTGTAACTATGCTCTCTCGAGAAAGCAACACGGGAAAGTAACCAAGGGTACGTTCAAGGACAAAAGGTAGCTACTGTTTGGGAAGATCAACACTGCAACAACCTGGCTATTTTAAATTGGTAAACACTGCCTTAGTTTAATTAAAGCCATCTGTCCTTATTTGTTGGAGGTGAAAGCAAGTCAGGAGGCAACATTGACTGCATTCAAGAAAACATAACAAAACAAAACCTAAAATCTCTTGTTTAAAAGAATATAATGGGAACTTAAATTTTTTTCTTTTTTTTTTTTCCCCAAAGGTAAACCTCAACTTACCTAGATCTGGCCATTAATATTCTTAGCCTCTTCTGCAGCATCAGGAGTTTAATCATACTTCAAAATACCATGTTTTCTTTGTTTGCTGACTTAACCTAGGAACAGAAAAAAGTCAAGAACTTCTTATTTCTTTTTAAAACAATGATTTCCTTATGAGACTTCTGGTAGCACTGTTAGTTCAATTAATCTATTTCAATAACCCCCAAAGTATAAAATTCTGATTCATATAAGATTTCTTTTTAAAAAGAAAATGACATGTACAAGTTATCATTCACACAGTCAAGTAAAAATGCTATAGTCTAAGTTCTAGAATGTTTGGGTATCAGAACCTTTAGAAGCGGCTGACTCTGGCTTCTCCACTATAGCTACGACACTGGACAAATCACTTCTCTCTATACTTAGTCTCCTCAGCCATACAATGAGAGGACAGACCAAACCACCTCTGAAGTACCTTTCCAGCTAATTTCACCCAGTGGTAGACTAATTCTCCACCTCCAGTCAGTTTTCTTTTTTTTTCTTTTTTATTTATTTATTTGACAGAGAGAGAGGTCACAGTAGGCAGGCAGAGAGAGCAGAGAGCCCGACGCGGGCCCGATCCCAGGAGCCTGAGATCATGACCGCAGCTGAAGTCAGAGGCCCAACCCACGGAGCCACCCAGGCGCCCTCCAGTCACTTTCCTTAAACTTCACCATCACTCCTCCCAAGACTGATTTTAGAATCCACCCACCATACCTAATCTAGAAGAGCCCTCCAGAACCAAATCAGGAGTCAGGCAACAGGACACAGTCGATATGAACAAGCATGCCACGCAGTCACAGGATAATGATATGCCTTATAGCAATAAATTACAATCTAGAGTTTCAAGAGATTTCAATAAACTTTTGGGAAATTTCTGGTCAATCTATTCCTTTTTTATGACACAAAAAAATCAAACTCAAGCACGGGCGCTAACATTTACTGAATAACTACACTGTATCAGGCATTAGGGGTTTTGCTAATAGTCTCATTTTAATCTACATATTGACTAGAGTTAACAAACAACTGGTATCCAAAAAGAACATTTTAAAATCATGAACCCACATGCAAACAAAATTTTCAACTCTGGACTTCAAACCTACATACAAAATAAACAGACTGGCCACGTGCTTGCTTGGGCCCCCCATAAGCTGCAGCGATACCCTATGTTAGAAGGGGAAGCAACCCAGGGCCTCTGCCTCAGAACACCCTGCTTTTCTCCAGAAGCTTAATATATATTATCTTATATGACTATAATTATATGATTATGCTTTGTCTTCAGCTTGTAAAATTATCTAGCTGATTAGCTAAACAAATCAATTCTCTTTTTTGAATATATTGTTTGTTCATCTCTCTCTTCTGGGAGATATCAGACAGCCAATTAACTCAGGAAGATCTCTCTTCCTCTTTTTTATTCATTCCATTTATAAGCATCTCACAACTCCCATCTTGAAGTAAGTTTAATCATAGTAAATATGATTAAAAGAAGGGAGAGTGATCCTTCCATAACCATAAATCAAGGAAAAGTCTTAAGTCTTGAAGTGAAACATATTAAAGAATCTATGTACCAACCTACACAGCTCTTGAAAATACTAAAAAGCATCCAACAAAATCTCTGAAAATTTATTCTGTTCCACCTTTAGACTTTTTCTTTTCTTAATATTCTTTAAGTAAAAGACACACAACATAAAATTTACCTCCCTACCTATTTTTAAGTGCACAGCTCAGTCCTATTAAGTATATTCAATAGTGTTGTGTGACCACTGTCCAGAACTACTTCCTCTTACAAAATGGAAACTCTGTACCCATTAAACAGCTCATTTCCCCTTCCAGCTAATCCTGGCAACCACTATTCTACTTTTTCTTTTTATGAGTTTGACTACTCTAGGCACCTCGTATAAATGAGATCATAACAGCATTTATCTTTTTGTGCTTCTCTTACTTCATTCACTAGGCATAATGTCCTTGAAGTTCATCCATGTGGTAACAGATGTTAGAATCTCCTCTTAAGAGGCGCCTGGGTGGCTCAGACCTTAAGCGTCTGCCTTCGGCTCAGGTCATGATTCCAGGGTCCTGGGATCAAGCCCCACATCAGGCTCCCCGCTCAGCAGGAAGCCTGCTTCTCCCTCTCCCACTCCCCCTGCTTGTGTTCCCTCTCTCACACACTCTGTCAAATAAATAAATAAAATCTTAAAATAAAAATTAAAAAAAAATTTTCCTCTTAAAGCCTGAACAATATTCCATTTACACACACATATTTTGCTTATCCATTCATGTACTGATGGGACATTTAGCCACCTTTTGGGTACTGTGAATAATGATATAGCTATGAACATGAATGTACAAGCATCTCTTTGAGACCATGCTTTCAATTCTCTTGAATACAGACCCAGGAGTAATATAGCTGACCACCTGGTGATTCTGCTTTTTTTTTCTGAGCAATTGCCATGCTATTTTCCACAGCACCTGCACCATTTACTTTCCCATGAGCAGTGCACATGAGTTCCAATTTCTCCACATTCTCACTAACATGTTTTCTGTTTTTGTTTGTTGGTATTAGCCATCATAATGGGTGTGATGCGGTATCTCAATGTAGTTTTGATTTGCATTTCCCTAAATAATTAATGATCTTGGGCATCTTTCCATGTGCTTATTAATCATTCATGTATCTTCTTTCATGTATCTATTCAAGTCCTTGACCTATTTTTGAGTTGGAATGTTCTTTAGTTTTGGACTTTTAGAAGTTCTCTATATATTCTGGATATTAATCCTTTATCAAATATATGATTCACAAGTATTTTCTCCCATTCTGTGGGTTGCCATTTTAGTCTGCTGAATAGTATTTTTTTTAAATATTTTATTTATTTATTTGAGAGAGAGAGACAGTGAGAGAGAGAGTATGAGTGAGGAGAAGGTCAGAGGGAGAAGCAGACTCCCTATGGAGCTGGGAGCCCGATGTGGGACTCGATCCCGGGAATCCAGGATCATGACCTGAGCTGAAGGCAGTCGCTTAATCAACTGAGCCACCCAGGCGCCCAGTATTTTTTGATATACAAAAATTTTTATTTTTCGTGAAGTCCAATTGTCTATATTTGCTTTTGCTTCCTATGCTTCTGGTGTCACACCCAAGAAAGCACTGCCAAATCCAGTGTCAAGAAGCTTTTGTTTAATGTTTTCTTTTAAGAACTGTACCATTTTATGAATTATATTTAGGTCTTTGATCCATTTTGAGTTAATTTTTACATGTGGTGTTAGGTGAGGGTTCAAGCTCATTCTTTCACATATGGATATCCAGTTTCCCCAGAACCATCTGTTGAAAAGATTGTCCTTTCACCATTGAATGGTATTGGCACTTTTGTCAAACTTTAGTTGACATAAATATGAAAGTTTGTTTCTGGATTCCCTATTCTATTCCATTGGTCTTGTAAGTCTATCTTTATGCCAGTACCATACTGTTTCTATTACTGTAGCTCTATAGTAAGTTTGAAACTTGGAAGTGTGAGTCATCCAGTTCTGCTACTCCTTTTAAAAAATGTTTTGGCTATGTGGGGTCCCTTGAGATTCTATATAAATTTTAGGATGGGTTTTTCTATTTTTGAAAAAAAATACCATTGGAATTTCGGTAGGGATTGCACTGAGTCTGCAGATCTCTTTGAATAGCATTGACATTTTTAACAATATTACATCCTCTAACCCATGAACATGGGGGTGTGTTTAGCTATGTATTCTTTAATTTCTTTCAGCAATGTTTTGTAGATTTTATTGTACAAGTCTTTTATTCCTTAACTTAATTCCTAAGTATTTTATTCTTTTTCTTTTGTGTGTGGAATCTTTCAATACATATAAGATCACATCATCTGCAAACAGATAATTTTACTTCTTCCTTTCCAAATATGGATGCCTTCTAGTCCTCTTTCTTGCCTAACTACTCTTGCTAGAACTTTCGGTACTATGTTGAATAAAAGTAATGAATGTTGGCATCCATGCCTTGTTCTAATCTAGAGGAAAACCTCTCAGTCTTTCATTACTGAGTCTGATCACTGTGGGTTTTTCATAGGTGGCTTTTATTATGTTGAGGCAGTTTCCTTTTATTCCTTGTTTTTTTAATATATCTATGGTGAAAAACTATTGAATTTTGTCAAATGCCTTTTCTGCATCAAATGAGATGATCATGTGGGGTTTGTTTCTTTCATTTCATGAATGTGGTATATTACATTGACTGATTTTTCTATGTTGTACCACTCCTGCATTCCAAGAATAAATCCCACTTTGCCATGGTATATAATCTTTTTAATATGTGACTCAATTTGGTTTGCTGGTATTTTGTTGAGAATGTTTACATCAACGTTCGTAAGAGATATGGGGGGGCGTGCATCTGGCTGGCTCAATTGGTGGAGCATGTGACTCTTGATCTCAGGGTTGTAAGTTTGAGCCTTACACTGGGTATAGAGATTACTTAAAAATAAAATCTTAAAGTCAAAGAGAGAAAGTCAATTATCATATGGCTTCGCTTACTTGTGGAGCATAAGGAATAACACAGAGGACATTGAGAGATGGAGAGAAGGGAGTTGGGGGAAACTGGAGGGGGAGATGAATCATGAGAGACTGTGGACTCTGAGAAACAAACTGAGGGTTTTGGAGGGGAGGGAGGAGGGGGGTTGGGTGAGCCTGGTGGTGGGTATTATGGAGGGCACGTATTGCATGGAGCACTGGGTGTGGTGCATGAACAATGAGTTCTGGAACACGGAAAAGAAATTAAAAAAAATTTTTTTTAATTAAAAAAATAAAATCCTTAAAAAAGGGGGGGGTATTGGTTTATAGTTTTCTTATAGTGTTTTTGTCTGGCGTTGGCATCAGGGTAATGCTGGCCTCACAGAATGAATTAAGGGGTGCTCCCTCTTCTTTAGTTTTTTTTTTTTAAAGTTTGAGAAGAGCTGATACTAATTCTTTAAATGTTTGGTGGAATTCACCACTGAAACCAGTCCTTTTCTAGTCAGGATATTTTTAATTACTGATTCAATCTCCTTACTAGTTACAGGTCTATTCAGATTTTCTATTTTTTTGTGATTCAGCCATGGTA